GCATGAGACTCTCAGATGTTTTGGGAATAGTGTTCAGTTTGTATATTAGCTAACCTAGAATTAATAAGGTTGTTCTGTAGTAGAGATTTAAAGAAAAACTGGTGTTACCAGTTAACTATTTTATACCTATACAACCTGGTTTTCGTAAGTATATTTTTTTCTTCTCTCCATTCTCTGTTGTCAGATTTATTTATGTATGTATTTATTTGTTTAACGTTGATGGTATTGCAATGGTCATAGTTATGCATGAAAAGGAAACTAGGTGTGTCTGTGGCACAAATTGGCAATGCTCTCTAATCTTTCAGTAGAAGGTCTTGGTAATAAGCTGAATATGAGAAGTACCAGCTCAGTATTTGGAGAGTTCATTTACTTGTAGATGACTAAGTCAATGACAAGCACATTCATTAAACTGAGAGTCCCTGATACCTGACTTTGACTGTCCAATTGGAAGGTAAAGCCCATAGCAATCTTTCCACAAAACAAGGAAAACTTAGTTCTGTGGCCATCATTTCTTTCCTCAGTGAAAAGAGGTTCTGATGCATGTGTGAAACATTGCTAAATATGTAGTACCTGCAATTGAGGGATCTGTATTTAGGAATAAAGCTTATTTTTTATGGTTAAAGCGGTCAAACAGTGACTTCTAACAATTCCCTTATAATCCAAATTTCAGATATAGGGTTAAAGGTAAAAAATAGCAATAAATTACAAAAAAAACCTAACCAAAAAACCCAAAACCCTATGTCATGAGGGTAGCCATCTTAGTTTGGTTTGTGGTCCAAAACCATGTGCAGTTGGAAGCCAGTTTGCAAATAAGTCTTTAATTTTTCCGCTGAGCATTCACAACCACCATATCAAAAAAATGTCAGTTCCAGCTGAAGGTACATGTTTAAATACCATCGGATTCCCTTTCCAAATAACCTGGTGGAACATACATTGAAGATGCAAGTCATGATGAATGCCAATTCATTTGGGTTAGTTTTTTTAGCTCCTTGGAGAAGCAATCGGTTTCTGAGTAAATTTAACCACCTCCTCCCCCCCCGCCCCGAATCCCTGAAAATGTTAATCCTATGTGTAAAATGTTGAATAACCCCTCTCCCACACCAAAGAACAACTTCCTATTGCATTGTTTCATTTTTTTTTTTTTTTTACTGACTGAAATTAATCTCCTCCTGACCTCTCAAAAACTAGATGGGTTACTCGGTCATTGTGTGTTTTTCTGTGTAAAGTACTTTAACACTTTTCAATACCATGAGCATGTTTTCTGAAACAATTAAATATGTCCTTTCCAAAGTGATGTATACTATGTATAATGGATTAAGTGAGCTGTAGCTCACGAAAGCTTATGCTCAAATAAATTTGTTAGTCTCTAAGGTGCCACAAGTACTCCTTTTCTTTTTGCGGATACAGACTAACATGGCTGCTACTCTGGAACATGTATAACTTTGTCTTTTTAACAATGTGAAAGAAGTTGAGCTGAGTTCATTCTTATTATTGGCATTCACCTCTACAAAGGTCCCTGCTACAACCAAGCTAAGACTTTGGGGGACTGAATATTCCAGTTCTCCCAGATTAAGCTATGGCCCTGATACTGCAACTGCTTGCTACTTGATGTCGTTCCATTCATCATTATCAATTAAAAGGGAAAAAAAATATTTAAGTCTGCAGTTGATAGAATGTGGTTTCAGGATTGGGCCTGTTATCTAATGGGTATCAAGCCAAATTGCACCCTCAGTTGCATCCTACAACACCAGTGAAATCCATGAGATCTTGAACTCAGAAAAGTTTGTGTGGATGTCACATTAGGAAAAAATGGCCCATTGTCTTCTTAGGCACAGCATTACCACAAATCCCTCCATGGCATGTACTCCAGCTTTGTTTATAATATATAAAGTAATTTACAGAAAAATTCCAAGAAAAATATTTTGTATTTGCATAAACCCTCCTCCCACATATACCTCAGGCGTAAGCTTTACGATTCATCAGCTTGTTGAACTGAACTCTCATGGTGAATATAACCATATGTCAGCTGTATTAATTCTATCACAATCTCATATCAGTGCAGCCCTCTGCATGACTCATACGCTGTGTGTGTTGGGAGACAGACCTCTTTGTAATAACCGGTGGAAGCTTAGGACTCAAGTGCTCTTCTGGATGCCTCTATTTTCAATGTTATGTGGAAAATAGATAATAAAAATAAATAGAGCACAGAATGGGGAATATGTTGCTCCTAAACTGCTGACATTACCATGCCTTGACGTGGAGGGATTAAATAAAAGGAGAATATTGCACCTATTTTGTAGTGGAAAACTGAAAATATTTCATATGTATGATTTTTTTTAAACCACAAATTGGAAATTTGAGATTATCAATTTTTAAAAATTAATACACGCACTGAAAATTTTCAGGAAAAGAACTGAGAATTTGATGAAATGCAAAGGAAAAAAGGTGATTGTTTTAAATTAAAATGCACACCATATTTATCTGTTTCTAAGTCCTATCTAGCTGACAATAGGCTACTAATTATTTTTGACTGACATCAATGGCAGCATGAATATGTAGGTGGTTTTGTTAGCAATGGGACCATCGGTTCACGTGTCTGAAACATAGCACTGAATATTTACCTCTGCTTTTCTTTAGCACAAAATATATTGCACTTCTTAAATTTAGGATGGCTGAAAACCATACATAAGAGCACTTACGAGATATTTGAAAAAGTCTGCTGAAGCACTCTTTAATTTTTTGTTGTTGTTTAGAATTTATATACAGGACTGATACTTGGCAATGCAATGAAGGAGGCTGCCATTTTCACTCTCACTTACTATTCAGGTCACAAGCCACTTGGCATAATACTTTATTTAGGTGAAGCAAGAGCTTTGTGTATATTCTGCACTTTAATGTTGATTTTGCAATTCAAAAAGCCTTTTTAATAGCAATGTCCATATTTATTGTGTAAATTTGTAAATACAACTATATATATCAGAGGGTGGCTGGCTCGCCCTGTACATGAAGTAGTTCCAGCTTCCCTGTGCCAGAGCAAGTGCTCCCACTCTGGCCAGTTAAGAGGGCAGGGCAACACCTGAGGCAATAAAGGATAGAGAGAATCTGAGGGGCAGAGACCCCTGGGAGACAGAGGGACCTGGTGAGTTCCTCAGGAAAGAGGCAGGTGAGAGCTACCAGGGGATTATGGAGGGTCCTGGAAGGAAGCTGTAGGTGGTTTCTGGGGAAAGACGGAAGGCAATAGAGCAGCAAAGAAGGGTTTGCTGGCTGACATCCCAAAGCCAAAGAGCCAGGGCCAGACAGCAGCAGTGGGAGTCTCCTGCTTACTTCTAAGCTGGAGATGTAGCCAAGGGCCAGAGAACTCTGAAGGCTGGAGAGCATCAGAGGAATCTGCCCACTGACATATCCAGGGCCAGAGTGCTGGACCTAAGGGAACAGGGAGAGGGAGAGATGCTTCCCTGGTGAAGATCATTTCCCAGCAGAGAGTTTGTGCGGAGTTACCACTGAGAAGAGTGGGCTCACACTCCAGTTGGAAGTGTTGGGGTGGCCATCTTGACAGAGGGACAGGTGAGACTGGTGAGGAGCCTCGAGTGTGGCAGAAGATGCTGGCTTGTGGAATGTTACGTCATGGGGTTTTGAGGATAATATGCACTGGGATGATAGATGGACTCTGTGGAGGACTTTTGTTATGAACTGAACTGTACTATGGTTTTGATAATAAACTGGCCCCACAGAAGGGCATTATTGAAGCAAGGGGGCCTGAAGTGGAGTTCTTGGGTTACCTGAGAGGGCACACTTGTGCCACAGCCTACCTCAGGAGTTTGCCCCTCGGTGGGGCTGCCATTTGATGAAGTGAGCTGTAGCTCACGAAAGCTCATGCTCAGATAAATTGGTTAGTCTCTAAGGTGCCACAAGTACTCCTTTTCTTTTTACCATATTATTGTTTCATAAAAACTAGAGCAATAATAAATATTAACTATGGTAGCTCTCTCCTTTGTCTCCCACAGCATCTTCTGTGTAGATTGTAGATCTCTCTAAATATTGTCTCTGGTAGATTATAAACTCTCCAGGGCAGAGATTGTCTTAATATCTGTGCCTTTTACCAAGTCAAGTGTCTGGTCAGTGCTGAACAAATACATAACTTTGTCCTAGAATTGCTTTAAATATATGTTTATCTTGCTAAAATTATGTAATGCACCTCTTGCTTTAAATTATACAGTTGTTACTAACACATGTTTACTGTACAATAGTTGATTTGTCCAGTACAAAGAGTGTCATTACCACATTATATATACAAACAGTGCAGATTCATTACTATTCACTACTTTTTTCTATTGTTATTTATTTGTATTACAGCAAGGCCAGTGGCCCACATTAGGATGATTTGTTGTGCTGGGACATGTACAAATATGTAGGAAAACACATTTCCTGCTCTGAGGAGCTTACAAAGATTGACATTTTAAGATGACAACCTCATATGTTGTGTACATAGGTGAAAGTCCATTGGCAACCCAAAAGCCAGTGTTTGTGATCCTAAGCGTTTCACCACCTTCAGAACTATACGCCTTTTAAGGCTTGCAGGATTGGAATGCCCTGCTGCATTTCAGAATGTGTTCATCACCATCAAGTGTCATAATCTTATCTATGTATACTGGGGCTTAATCTTAAATGAAGAGTAAAAACTAAATGAAAAAGTTAGAGGAGCATTAATAAGATTTTTGCAAGTCTTTTCCCATAGTGGAATTTGCTGCTCTGACTATAATGACCAGGGCAAAGGACAGTTCAGAAGTTCTCCAAGGCAAGGAGGCTAATTGAGTCCATGGCTGAGCTTAGTTGTCAAAAATGTAAATGTGCAATAACGCACCTAATTTGGGCGGGGGAAAGGACCACCCTGTTTCAGAATGTCAAGTTCATGACACCCACTTAATACTTGAAGGATATACTGTCAAATTTCCAGAACTGTCCCTTCTTTAAGTTTACAGATTGTTTGTGTTGTATTACAGATTCATGTTTATTCTCTTGGTATGACCCTTTATTGGGGAGCTGACCATGAAGTCCCTCAAAGCCAAGTAAGTATATTTTTTAAGACGTCTTTTATAAAATCTCACCATTTTAAAGTTTTAAAATGGGGTTTGTTTGATAACCTCCTCCACGTTTCTAAAAAAACAGAGTAACAGGGCAAGGTAAACCCTTTGGATGCTGGTGGGACTGGTGAGACTAAGTGAAAAGCAGGAGTTTTTACATAGTTTGGGTTTTTGTAATTTACATAATTACAAGGTGCTTGTGAGAGGGGAAAGATGCCCCAAGGAGCAGAATTTAGGGCTTGTTCCTCAAGCCCTCACTCATGTGAGTAGTTCCATACATATAATGGGACTACTCTAATGAGTAAGAGCTGCAGAATTAAGCCTTTTGGGGCATGAACCCAAGAGGTACGAGAACTTGCAACTCCCATTGCAGTCATTTCGCAGTCACAGGGGGTTCCAGGTTCTCAGTCTTCCCAGTATCAGGCCTAAATATGTAGGGTTAGAGGTAAAATGTTATTATCTGAAGTAGTTTCCTCTTGAATACTGAGGCTTGGTGGCTGAACTGTGGACTTCCAAGTTATGGGTCTTATCAAGTTACCAGAGTCTTACTGCAACAGACAAGAGAAAGACTGTTGATGTATTCTGTGATCCTGCAGCTGCAGAATTTGTCATTGAATTCACTCCTAACCATAACGCCGCTGAGAGCAGGGGGTTTTGCTGTAGAATTAAAGACTTTTTTACCACAGAATCCACAGAGCTTTGATTGTAGTGAAGCAGCTTGCTTTGTCCATTATGAGACAAAACTACTGTTCTTCTCTAATTAATACTCTTCACTGTTTCTATTCTGGTTGTTTGCTTCTTTATTTTTCTTGATTAGGGATACCGTAGTGTTGGTTTGAAGCAGGGAAAGCACTGGCATTGTCTTCCACTTCAAAGTTATGTGAAGTCAACTTTGCCCTTATGTCTCCCAATGAACCACAGCTGTTTAAGGCTTATAAAAAACAACTTGCTTGTATATCATGCTGTGAATCTATCAAGAAAAATCGTATTTCTGTTTTATTAAGGATTCTAAAATGAGTTGCTTTTTGTTTGTCATATTGAAATTTCTTTAATGCTGTATAGTAAAAAAGTATTTGTGATTTACTTAAAAAGATACTAACCACTGTGCTCCATTTGGCCCGAATATAATTTCTGTGAGCCTAAGGTAGGCATGTTTGGGTGAATTCATTACATGACTGCCTCTGAAGGGAGAGTACTTGTTGAGAATAGGGAGTAGACTTCTTTGCTGTTGACTTGCCAGCATCTTCAGACACAGTTATGGCCTGGTTAGAGCTTAACCTCATTGCTCAATTTGATTATCTCGTATACAGTATGTGCACCTGTCAGAACTCCTTCAGTCAGGTTTGGGAGGATTTACTCTTTAGCATTTGACTCATCTTCTTCCAGAGCAATTTCATCTTAGGAAACAAAAAATAAAACAAACAAAAAAAACCCACACAACAACTACACTTTAAGTCAATAGCTGAAATGGTTGGAGGAGACTGAAAAATTAGGAGTCTGTATCCAGAAAGTAGATTCAGTGATGAGGTAGGGATATGCAGATATTATATGTTTGGCCTGACTCCTGCTCAGATGTGGGTGAAAAAACAGGTTTCAGCACAAAACTTACTCAGCTGCTAAAAGATGTATTATTATTACTACTAATTAAATGGAGAAAGCTGTTGATACAGTGTTATGGCTGAGAAATAAAGGGAGAGATTTTCAAAGGCAGTGAGGGCAGTTACTCCTTTGATTAGGATTCAAGCACTGACGTATTTCAGCCCTAATAGCTGAATTTTTGGGAAAAACTAGCTATTGAACATAGGGATTTATAATGAATGCTTTCATTACTGTAACTATATTGTGGCTTTGGTGATATTATAACCTAAAAAAGAAAACCTACAATTTTAAAAACCATTATTTCCTCCCAAAACCAAAGAGTTATCTAGTTGCATGCAGGGATCATTTGGTTAGAATGGAAAAACAAAGCATGCTCTGAAGAGTTTCATCCAGAAGTTCATTATGCTGTGCTAACGGACTCTTTGGGTGGTTACAGATTGTCATTGACTTCTTCATTCAAAGCACATGCTTCTGGCGTTTACAAAGTGTCATCTCTTTCATGATAGAATTGATATATTCTGTAACTACTAGGATATTTTTAGAAAAATGTATTCCTTCAATATTATTTATATAACCATAGCACCTTGAGATGCCAACAGAGATCATGGCTGCATTGTAGTAGGTGAGTTCCATAATAAGAGACAGTCCCCATTCCGAAGAATTAACACTTTAAAAAGACAAGACTGACAAAAATGTGGGAGTATTATGAACCCCATTTTACCTAGGGCAAACTGAGACACAGAGAGAGACTGTAACTTGCCCAATGTCATCCTGCTAGTTTGTGGCAGACCTGGAATTGATTCCCAATCCTGTGCCTTAACCATGAGACCAAAGACCAATTATTATTATTTATTATTTGTATTACGGTCGTGCCCTAGAGCCCATGGACCATGACCCCATTGTGCTAGACATTGTACAAACATAGGACAAAAAGACCATCCCTGCTCTGAGCGGCTTGCGATTCTTTCCTTCATTTTGTACGTTCTGTAGCTAAAGGTAAGGGCCAGATTGTGGCTGACCCTATGTGGGTGTACAAGTTGGGGGAAGAGGATACAAAGATCTCCCCGCTCTTTTGGGCTCCACTTCTGGGACTACGCCCAATCCCCAATCATGTTTGATGGTCAGGATTTGAAGAGTCCTAGTGTGGGTAATGACACTAGATTCCATAAAGGGAAAGACTGTGACTCTACTCCTGCATACTCAGCGTCCAGCAGAACAGGGATTATATGGGAGAGAGCAAACTGTGCTCATTAAAAGGATGGATCATCTGCTCCCATATGCCTGAGGGGGTGTGCGTTGCTACACAGCAGTTCTGTAACCCCTGGCTCAGCTCTGGCTGTGGCATATAATATACCCCCTACTATAGACTGCTTTTTAATTTGTCTCGTGTGTGTATGTGTAACATCAGTATAGATTGCAGAATGTTTTTGTAATGGGGAAAGTGTTGTGGGCTTTTCCCTTTTCCTTCATTCTCAAAATCAGCTGACCTGCTCTACTTCATAATCTGAAGAAATGGGAAAAAGAGGGGGGTGGAATCACCCTGAGGCAGAGACCAGGTATGGATAATTTCAGCCCAAAAGGTGAATGTTTTAGAAAGTTACGAGCTACTGAAGACAGAAAGGTACAATGGAAACATGGAGGGAATTGGCTATAGCTGTTGTGAGCACTTCAGCTACTTTAAAAAGAGAATCAACTGTTGTCACCCTAGAATAGAGCAACTTTCATCTGGTGAATTTATCTTACCCCTCCTGTAAGTATGTGGTAAGTGCTAGTAGCTAACATTCCAGTAGAGCTCAAAGATCTACCTTTATAAAAAGTTAAAATACTTAAACCTTCATCATTTAATTTGTCTTTAGTCCTGGAAGCTTTTCCATTGTAACACAGATGTAAGATGTACAATTTATAAATCTTTGTTGATGTTCTTAGCCGATGGATATGTTGTTTTAGGTTCTTTGCTGTGTATCAGGTTTCATGCAAGAATGATTTCTGTGATTCGAGAGAGAGAGAAAAATTGTTCCCATAAAAAAAATGTACTGAAAGACAATAGTGCCTATTAGTTTGTATATGGTAAAAGCCTATATCAATGCTGTATGTTAAATGAGGCTGATGCTGAACAAATTTTTATAGTAAGCTTAAAAATAAATGGAAAGAAATACTGTGAAACTTAATAAAAGAAGTACTTGTGGCACCTTAGAGACTAACCAATTTATTTGAGCATAAGCTTTTGTGAGCTACAGCTTATGCTCAAATAAATTGGTTAGTCTCTAAGGTGCCACAAGTACTCCTTTTCTTTTTGCGAATACAGGCTAACACGGCTGTTACTCTGAAATCTGTGAAACTTAATGTGCTCAGTAAAGAACAACACACGACAGGGCATGTATTTCTTTGATAACCGCCCACCTTGGGTGCATAGTGAGACACAGTGCTGAAGGCCAAGTGTCTACAGTATCTGCAAAGTGGTGTTATCACTGACTACTGCATAGCTTGGAGTGTTATTCCACTTAGAATATGATAGGATTGACTGTTTGGATGGGAAGAAATTAAGGCTAAGTAGTTCCCAACCCTATGGGTGTTGTCCCATAATTGCAGGGCTTCACTTATTTAGCCAATTACTTTGCTCCCTGAGTCCTTACCCTTTTCTAATAATATCTAAAAACTTTTCTGGACTCTGGAAAGGATTTTTAAATATTTGATAATCTTGATAATAAATGCCATCTCCAATATAATTGCTAGCCATAAGGGTCTTGGCGAGTCAATCCTACACCTTTCTGGAACATGAAAGTACAAATCCATTTGAAGTAAAATCTTGGACTAGCTAAAGGATTATGGAAGCCTTTTTAGTACACTTGTCAGATCTCATCAGCAAGTTCCTGCAAATACTGTCTCCAGGCCCCTTATGGTTAGCAGTTACAATGAATATAGCTATTATTCAAGACTGTGTTTTAAAAATATTAATTAGCCCTAATGTCCTTGGTAGACAAGTATTATTATACTCAGTTTACAGATTGTGTGAATAGCCCAAGATGAAACAGGCTAGTGACAGAGCCAGCATTTAGATCTAGGATCCTGAATTGCAGTCCCCTGGATAGCCACTAGATCATACTGCTTTCTCTACCAATGAGATGTGTTTGAGATGGAGCATATCAGGTGGAATTTTCAGAAGTACCAAAGTGAATTAGTATTGAAGCTTTAGAAAATCAAGCCATTTGCATATGTGTTTGATAGATATTTAAGTGTTGTGTTTTTTTTTATTCCTCCTTTCCTTTGTAATCAGCCTATCAAGCTTGGGGATCACCTAAACAGCATACTGCTTGGCATGTGTGAAGATGTCATTTATGCCCGTGTGTCTGTACGGACGGTTCTGGATGCCTGCAGTGCCCACATAAGGAACAGTAATTGTGCACCTTCTTTCTCATATGTGAAACAGTTGGTTAAACTGGTTCTGGGAAGCCTCTCTGGGGTAAGTGTTTACAAGCAGTTGAGCAATAACTGAGAATTGCAAAAACATAGTGAAGAAATTGGTTCAAAGTCTCTCTCCAACCAGTCTTGCTTCTTGTTTGTAATTTTTCCCAACTTATATTAAAGGGACGCTCAGTCTAAAAATTACACTTCTGTCTGAATGTATTTTACCTGCTTTTATCACAAGCAGCACCAGAAAGAGCAATTACTGAAAGATTAACGGAAAACATTGTGTTCTCTAATTTTTGTTAGTTTACTTTATGCATTTGGCAACACTATATATTGTCACTTTTGCAGTTTCCCTGGTAAGGTCAGTTTCTCATTGTGTTGGGTCTTCCACACAGTAATGGGGAGACACATTTTTTTAAAAATAGGAAATTGTGATTATAACAAAAATTTGAATAGATGCTATGGGGCAGGTGTTGAACACACTTGTTTTAGCTAACTGGATTTCGCATATGCTTTTTAAATTCTGTTGTGGACAGTTGTTTATTGAAGGAAATAAGGGAATCTGTCACCAGACTTCTGAGTTCTTCTGAGATTCTACCCAGCTGTCAGCCATTATTACTGACAGGGAATTCATATTATTATGGCACACGCACTTGCTATTTTCATATGTAAAAGAAACTACATTAACTTATCTCACAAAGTTGCCATTCCTGACTGGCAACCTCTCCCTTCGCTACAATGTTACAACATATTCATGGGCTGGTTAAATAATTTTAGGACTCTGAATAGAAATGGAACTTACTAACTGTTAATGGTGTCAAACAGTACTTCTCCCAGTATTTTTCATTTATAAATTATCTCTAATGGCAATCAGACAACTCAAGCAAAGTATTTCTACAGAATTGCTGGGCCATAGGTCTTGGATACTGTGGTTCTGATTCACTGCTATGTTACTACAGTATTATACTGCTTCAACCCTTTGGAACTCAATGAGTTATTACACTGGTGTAAAAATGGCTCCCTGGACACATGCCACCAGTATGATCACAGAAAAGTACATTGCTTGATATCCTGTTTCTTGTGATGGGAGAGTCCAGTGCTGTCAGGGCCTTTCTAATCTGGTTGGTAAATTGCTGCATGAAGAGATACGACTCTGGCTCAGTTGAATCTCCAGCCGTCACTGATTCCATACCCACGGGCCCTCCAGAGAGAGTGCTGTGGGGCATACTCTGGTCTCGGTCAGCCTAAGCATGGCAGCTGAATCTATCTCTCTCCAGTGATCATCAATGTGGTATCTGCGCTCCTCCATGGTAACTCAATGTAGCTGTTCTTCTACAATGCAGAGCAAGAGGCAGTAATTGAGACAATCAGGCCCCAGCAAATTCAGAGCTTTTAAAATAGGGTTGGACTGTGACCTAGATAGAGCAGAACCAGTAGAGTGCAGAGCACTAATGTGAGTGGTCTTGTATGATGTCTCTTCCTTAGCAGGTGAGTTGATCTGTGTCGTATCAGTCTTAATTGCCATATGGCTTTCATAGTCAGTCCCAGCTAATAGTGCATTAGAGTAGCATTAGCCTGGAGGCAACAAAGATGTAAATGACTTTCACCAGCCCTTTATCTTGGCCAGCATCGGTGGAAAAGATAGTAGTGGCTGAAAATGCTTATCTGGAAGTTCCAGGATCAAAGGTGAATCCATCAAAAGCCCGTTTGTGCACCATCTTAATAAGTGGGAGGGGTGTTAAAAAAAACTTCAGTTGAGGTGTTGCTTGTTGAGATTCTGCTAGTTCTTGTGTTTCCCTCTACCAATCAACATCACCTATGTTTTGCCTGAACAGAGTCTTAGCCAGCTATCTTTCATCCGTCTCCCTGTTTCATCAAGTCATTGGAATATCTGAGACTACACTGTTCACACTAAGCAAGAAAGGAAAATAGAACCGGGTATCATCAGAATGTTGGTGACCTCATGGTGCAGTTGTTTTCTTTATGCATTGGGCTAGTCTTCACTCCCCAGTTTCATTCCAGTGTATGCAGATAGGTCCCGTTGCTGTTTGTTTCTGTACATATCTTTTGAAACGTTAACTTAATGATGTACATACACTATTTATATATGGAAACTATGCTGCTGTTGCTCAGGATTATATAGAGCATCCAGTTTAGAAATGTGTTCCTATACATATCTGTTGACCCTGATTAGGCATTGTTGTACTGTAAATGTTTCCTCTTGAACTGTATAGGAAATCATCCATTGAAATGTAAAACATTTTAAAATGGCAGTGGGTGCATTTACTTTTTAAAATATTTTGTAAAGGGTGAGCGGGGAGATCACTGATTGAATCTATTTAATATTAGTTGGGGTGCATTGTAATTGTACTAGATAGAAAGTAGCTTGATTTTTCACAAGCTTCAATGCTAATTCCTTAGTTAGTTTCTAATTTACAGAAAGGCTAGGGTAAAAATTATCGGTGCAATTTAAAGAGATTCTTTGAATTATTTGTGTGCAAGTATCCAGAATCAGATAAATATATGTATTGAATTAACTTTTTTTCTAAAAGTGTGGAAGCTGTGTTAAAATATCTCAAGAGTTGGAATTTCCTTTTTTGTTCTTTGAATTATGGAAACACTGAAGGAAACACTTTTCTGAAATTATTAAAGCTACTGTATGGGCATCCAACATAGCTACTGTGGGTACCAGCCTAAAATATCATCCATAAGATAGCATTTAATAGTAGGTACAAACCATAACTTGGCAAATTAACCCTGAAAATGCACATCATGGAATATCTAAAGCTATTTTAATTCTTCTAGTTCCAATTTACTGTAATGGAACATATTTGTGTTGTAGATTTATGGAGTTATTTTCTGTTTATTTGGGGGGGGGGGGGAAGTATGCCAAACATGTATTGAACAAATATTACTAAAGTGATACTAATAAGGGAAGGGTTCCTAAAAGATAACCCTGGGGGAAATCCAAATTGATAATCCCAATTCAATGAAGAAATTCTGAATTTCCACAGACAAACTAATGTAAATATTGGATATTACTTCTGTTGAACGTTTATTTGCCTGAGAAAGGCAATGTCCTGCTAAATGTGCTAGCCTTTTGTCCTGAAATATCCAGTCTTCATGCTAACATGGTCTTTTCAGAACACTTGACTTTGTATTACTGCCTGTTTACAGGTCGATCAGCTTTCCTGCAATGGAGAAAGAAAATTACAGACAGACAGAAGCCAGGCCATTCGGGATAGGCTGAGAGGGAAGGGACTCCCCACAGGTAAATGCTCCTTGGTGGTCAAGATGATGAAAACCTTGTGGAAGAAATCTAGGATTCTTAGCCAGCCAAATGACTGTCCCATTGATAGCAGGTGAATAAGAATTGTGTAGAACATAATTTTTAAAGACATGCAATCAAACTGAGTGTTGAGCTTGGGCTCACTCACGTGCCAGGTATCTAGAGTGAGATATCTGATAAAGAATAATTAACCACTGGAACAATTTACCAATTCGCCATCACCTGAAATCTTTAAATCAAGACTAGATGTCTTCTAAAAATTATGTTCTAGGTCAACCAGAAATTATGGATTTGAACCAGGACTCATATTTTTCCTGCATTGTACAGGAGTCCAGACTAAATTATCATAATGGTCAATTCTCGCCTAAAAATACATGCATGCAAATGTAGTATCTCGCTACCAGCAGTTACTGCTCACTTCTCAAACAGGGAATAGACACAATTGCTTAGATTTATCATTGCACAGAAGGTACATAGGGTGTTCAACTCTTCACATGTTACTGTCAGTCTTTGCCCATCTGCCACTACCAAACAGGGTACAAAAGTATTTTACTCTCTGTTGTTCAGCTCTTATATATTTTACTTTTGTGTTGTTTAAAAAACATAGTAGCCTGGAAGGGATTACAAGCATCAAGATAGCTACTAGGATCGCCAGTAGTGCTAGAAACTACAAAGAAGGCAAAACTAGGCTGGACCATGGCCCTGCAACTGTTCTGTACTGACTGGAGATTCAGGGCTAGGTGCTGAGAGGGAATGGTAGGCTGCTCTTCCAAAGAAGTTTCTCTTAAGAGCCTTCCTTTGCTGATTTTTTTTCCTGCTGTCCTCTATAGGCAGTATGCTTTAGGAACAGTTAATGATGCAGTATCCCTTCTGTCTCACTCTCGCGCGTGCCCTACTATCACTGGTTTCTACAGCCATAATATAGTACTGTACTTAGTACCTTAGTCTTTTTGCAACATTTGTTTGTTTCCCTGCCACCACAAGAAATATAATTGTCCTTAACTTAAAATCTCTTCTTCTCAAGTGAGTGTGTATTTCCTATTTGTTTGGATTGTTCCTTTTTGTTCATATACACACAACTTATAAGACTGTCTTTAGCAGAAGTAATTTTATGTCTTTACAGTTTTAAGCTTTGTTGTTAACATAGTTATATTTGGGTTTTACTGCTTACCTTCAGAGATTGGTACTATAACAAGCCATCTTGTTATAGCATCTTCATGGGTTTCTGGCTCAGTTCTAGTGTGTAATAGTATCTGTTTAATTTCTAGCATGTCCTCTCTCTAGGGACTATGTCTTGTATTTGCAGGGGAAGGATGAGTTAATCTAACAGGTGTTTTCCCACTGTAACCTGTGTGATTTATTTGTAAAACAACATAGGACAGGATATTCTTCCGCTCACCCTGCTTTCTCTGCATCACTCGGTACATATGATACCTGCTCCTCTGAACTTGTTGAGAAGGGAATTTTTAAAAAAATATTTACTCAGAAAGTTCAGCTGAAATGCAGCATCTGGCTCCGAGGTTCTGCAGAGTTAAAGGTTTGGCTGGCCACTTTGCCCTCACTTGGCTTCATAACCTGCGTTGTATGCTCCAAGATGCCAAAAATAACAGGATTCTTTTAGTGCTGATTTATCTTGCGGTCTCCTGGAGTGAAGAAGAGTGTTCATTAGGATTTCCTTGAGGTGGAAGAGTCGACGTTACACAGCCACTCTCTGTGAGCAAGCTCACCACCCTCAAGTTGGTAAGGGATCTCTTGATCCAAGTCAGTACTCCTCTTCTGTGCTATGTCCCCCTATCCAGGGGATGTCACATTGTCTAATGAGCCCGTGCTATTTACACCTCCACACGCACCAAGTGCATGTAGTGCTTTATGGAAGGTGCTGGACTGACAGCCCTGGAAACTAAAGTCCTCTATCCACAGAGCAAGTACATCATGGTAGCAGCAGGTACTGTGGTGATAAGGCTCATATAAGAACCTGGTTAAATAGAAAGTAGTTTATAGTCCTCACTTAACGTACCTCAACCTGAGAAGGAGGAGTGACAATGTGATTCAGTGACTATGTCCTTTCAGTCCTTGCCCTTCTGTAAGATCTTCACCAGCAATGCAATTGTAGGGATTTTTGTGATGTGGATGTGGGATGAGAGGTTGTTGAGACCTCCAGTATATTTCATATAGACCACCAGCCAGCTTTCAGATGGACCAGGTTTGAGCCAGTTATACGTAGGTGATGAAATGCTCACTGTCTCGTTATAATTCCCTGGAGCCATTCCATTATGCAAAGACCTAAAGTGTTGTTCATCCTTCCCAAGATTACAAAATATCCACCTCTCAAACCACACCACAGAAAGAGAGAAAAGAAGCTTTCTGAAAAAAGAGTGAATGAAAGAGAAGAGAAGATAGGAAAAAATGAATAAGCAAAAGAAGTGGAACCATCCTTTGGCTCCCATATGTTCAGATGACAAGCACTTAGAATGCTTTGGGTGCTGTATAAATGCTTGACATCATTTTGAATGTCCAAGTGTCACTGTTGTAGAGTGAGCAAAATCCATTCACCTCCCTCAAAATCGACTCTCAAAGGATTAATTCAAGAAATAGTTCTTGAATTAATAATAATTCAAGAAATAGTTATTCAAGAAATACTTCTCTGGACAGATGGTGCTATCAACTTGTGAGAGTTTATTTCAGCTACCAAACCCACTTCTGTGCTAGGCTGGTGTTATATGGATAAGGTTCCCCCTGGCTATAAAAACTTTTACTCCTGGGGGGATTCTGTGTGACTGTACACCAGCAGAAAATGCCCCATCCCTCCCGCCCCGCCCCCCCGCAGAATTCCTGTGCTTCCCTGCAGAAAATGGCAGGGAACCAAAGGGAAGCTGTGTGTCAGGGGTGGGGGGGGCTCTGATCGGTTCCCACTTGGAACCGGGGTACCACTGAGCCCACCTGACCCACCAGCCTGAGCTCCCTTTACACTGTACTGCTGTGATAGGCTCTCAGTCCCCTTCCAGCGCACATACAGGTGGAGACACACCCAGCTGCACCTTCACACAGATGTTGAGATCCGCTCTGCATGGGAAGGCTCAGCTAAGGAACTGCCCAGTTACTCAAGTGCACACACCCCTTAAAAGGGTCAACCCAAAATTATACCGTCTTGCACTGCACAGAGAACTGTGCAGCATAAGCTCATGAAATTCGCTCCCTCTCTCAGTTCTATCCTTGTTTCTCAGGTGTTTCCAGCAATCTTCTCAGGTGGGGAGTCAGTGAAGAAGAACCATGATGATGTTACTCCCCAGTCTTAAATAGCTTTTGCATATGGTGGGTACCCTTTGTCTCCAGGCTTAGTTGGTTCCCATGCCTTTCCGTGGAAAAACACTGGTATTCCAAGATGGAGTCCAGGGCCGGGTGACTTGGTCACATGTCCCTGTAGGGCCACAGCAGCTATGTCTAGGAGGCTGTTTGTAGCATCCTCAGGAAGGCTCACTGATGGGAGATTAGCATCTTCTAAGACCTATTGTTCTCCCTAATGGCCCTTCCCAGCTAGCCATCTAGACTGAGTGCATTCTGCCTGGTGGGCGTTCTCCAGGTCTAAACACATTTGTAATAGATGCATAGACAATATTCCTAACCTCATGATCCTTGCATACAAATAGGATAATCATATTCAGTAAATCCTAACCTTTTCAATGACATCTCACATGACTCATCTTCTATAAAATACGTCATCGTTATGCCATAATCATATCATATCAATATCTCTGTGGAGAATATGGGGCGTAGTGTCATAGAGGTGACCACGGGCTCAGTTTTTTGGGGGGATTGCCCCCCCAAACAGAGGTGAGGCATGGTGGGCACGCAGGGTTACGTGCCACTGCCCTCTCCCCCTCCCCCGGCCCCTCGTTTCTGCAAGCGCGGAGCTGCCCAGCTGGAGGAGGCTGTCTCTCAGCTCTGCGGACTGAGCAGCTGAACGCCACCTCCTGAGTCCTAGTGCCAGTCATGCTCCCCTTCTGTCTGCTGGGAGCCTTCCTGTTTTCTGTGCAACAGCGAGCGCCTGGGGCGGAGCTGGGTAAGCGGGGGAGGAAGAGCCAGTGGGGTGGAATAGGGCGGGGGAAGGGAATGTGGGAGTGAGGGGAGGGGGATGGAGAAGAATAGGGGAAGCGGGAGCCCAGCATGCGGCATCCCCTCAGCAGCAGCTGGGGCTCCCCCGTTAAGTAGGCCCATTGAACCCTCACCCTGACAAGCCCCATCTCCCCCCACCTAGACCCCTCTGATGAGCCCCTCATACCCAGACCCCACTGATCCTCAACCAGCTGCACCTGGACCCCCACCCATCAAGCCCCACTCCCCCAGCACCTGGACCCGCCCTATTAAGCCCCCCACACCCAGACCTTGCCTGCTGAGCCCCAACCACCTTCTCCTGGATCCCCTGCAGAGTCCCACTGTCCCTGCACCTGGAACCCGCCAACGCGCCCCTGTGCATCCAGATCTCCCACCGAGCCGCCCACACCCAGATTGCCCCCCACAGAAACCTGGATCTCCCCACACTAAGCCCTTCCACACTTGGATCCCGCTTGGCTGAGCCTGGCCATTCACACTAGCACAGAGAGGCAGGGCCCCGGGCTGTTTCTGGGGCAGGCCCAGCCCTTACACTGTGTCAGGGTCAGGTGCAGCCTCACTGCCGAGTCCCTGCAGGACCATCCCTACCCATATGCAAAGCACGCAGCTGCGTAGGCCATCAGGAAACTTGGGGCACCACATTTCCTGGTGCCCTGCGCAGCTGCGTGCTGCTCCAGCCCCTGCTCCGCCTCTTCCCCATGGCCCCTGCCCCTGGTCCACCCCCACCCCACCCCCACTCCCCTGAGGCCTCCAGCAGCGGTCGAGCCTGCACTCACTGGTGGTGGTAAGCAGAGCGACCCGGCCTCAGCCCGCTCTGCTGGTGAATGCTGAGGGGCGGTTCCCCCCTGCCCACCAGCCCCCTCCCCCGCGGA